GCATTTGTGATTGGTTTGTTGTTTAGTGCTAGGATTGGTGGTTGTGAGTGCTGCACTTGCCCAGAGGTGGGTAGCCAGTATAGTATATAGGAGAGGGAAGAAGGCATCCTTTGCCTTTTTTGCTCTTTTCACTCTTGTTTTTTGTCATCTGCAGCTGCCATGAATGTTAGCCAAACCACCCTGCTTTGGAGCCAGTTCATTATAGACTGGAACCTCCAAAAACTGAAACCTAAATAAACCTTTCCTTCCTTCACTTTGGGTATCAGATAGTTCATCTCAATAATGAGAGAAAAGTAACCAAGAAAGAATTTGGTACCATTGAAGTGGGATCATTGATGTGACTATACTTGACCATGTGATTTGAGAGCCTTTGGAAATGGCTATGGGAAGAGTTTGGAAAGGTTCAAAAGATGTCACTTGAAAGCATACAGCTCAAAGGGCTTGGGCTGTTCTGTAGGGGAGATTCTGGTCAGAGCTCAGAAAACCAGTAAAGACCAGGCTTGGGAGATTTCTGCTCAAAAGAAGGATAGCATTAGGTGCTAGACTCCAGACATTGTATGTTATAGGTTGGCAGAAGTTTGTCTTCATTTTACTCATGTCCAGAGACTTTGCCTAAGACTGAGATTAAGGGCAGCAGACTAATTAATCTGGCAGAAGAAATTTCAAGGCAGTCAAAGTTTGAGGCTGTGGCATGGCTAATTATTGGAAGTTTTTGGCAGATTTATGTTGTGAATTAAGAGCAAAGGGCCCAGCAGGGTTATTTAGAGTACAGTCAGAAAGGAAACTTCAGTAAAGCTGTGGACTGTAAGGACAGAACTGGAGATCTTGATTCCTGAGAAGGAACAGGAAAATAAAAAAGATGGCTTGGGGACATCACAGGAAGCAATGGTGGCTCTCTGCCCTTTGCAACCTCAAAATTGCAAAAGTGAAAGACTCTTCTTAGAAGAGAAAGCCACAGAGTGCCATGTTCCAGAATGGTGGCGGAAACCACAACAGGTCCCACAGTGGCAGCAGCATAGAGAAGCTATTCCTTCCCATTATGTTCAGAGTGCTCAGCAATCCAAGCACTCAACCCCCAAAAGAGAGAGAAAAGCCTGGATACTGCTCCAGCTGGCAGTGGATCTTGGCATCAGCCATGTGACACTGGTTTTAGGCACATGAAAAATGCAAGAATTCTGAGATCAAGGTAGCTTCCACCCAAATTTCAGAAGACCTGGGAGGCCAAGTGGTGTGTCCCTGAGAGGGTAGTAGAAGCTGTGAGTGTGAAGCTAAAGGTACAATGGAGAACCCAGAAATTTTAAAAAGCCAGGAACATAGATCACTTAAGGAAAGCTGCAAGGATTGTGTGGAGCTGGTTGGAAAGGACCCCTGGGAGCTAAAACCACTGGAAATGCCATGTAGGTGGAGTCACTCAAGCTTTTTGGAGCTCACAACAAGATTGCTTCAAATGCTGAATGTGGAAATCCAGGACTTAATACTGGATTTTGGATGCTGGGTTTTAGACTTCCTTTAGATTTCCTTTGGTCCCATTCCTCTGTAGCCCCTGTTTGTACTTTGTAATGGTAATGTTTACCTTGTGCCACTAAATGTTGGAAATGTTTAACTTTGCTTCCATTTGTACAGAGGCTCACAGCTAAGAATTTGCCTTAGATCTTGGAGGAGACATGTGACTTGGACTTTTTTTTTTTTACTTATTTTTTTATTTTTAAAAAGCAAAACAGAAAAAATGGTAGAAATAATATAGAATTTCAGAAAATAACAGTAAGAAATCAACACTAGTTAATATACTACATATTGTTAACTTAGAAGTAGTTGTTCAAATTACAAAACCTAAGCTTAAAGAATGAAGAACTGAACAATGACAGCACAAACTATTCTTTTTTTCCTTTTGCTCTAACCGACTCTGTTTTATTTAGTGACTTGGACTTTTTAACAGTGCTGAAAATGTTATTACTTTGGCAATACTTCGAGGTGGACTAAATGTCTTTTGCATAAAGGATGTGCATGCATCTTTGTAAGGCCAGAGGTGGAACATTATGGTTTATGTGTGGATGTCCCTCCAAGCCTCATGCAGTCATGGAGGTGGCTGAATCTAGCATTTGTGATTGGTTCATTGTCTAGCACTGGGATTGGTGGTGTGAGTGCTGCACCCACCCAGAGGTGGGTAGCTGTTATACAATATAGGGGAAAGAAGGAGGTGTGCTTTGCCCTTTTAGCTCCGTTAGCTCTTGTTGCTTGCAGCCACCATGAATAGTGCCCCTTAGACATGCCACCCTGTCTTAGAGCCAAGTATTATAGAATGAAATGTCCCCAAACTGTAAGCTACATAAATCTTTCCTTTTCTTCCTTTGGGCATCAGATAGTCCATCTCACCAATGAGAGAAAAGTAACCAAGACATTTGTCAAAGACACACATTATCTGGAAATTTTCTTAAGTCACTATTCTTGTGTCCTAATCTCAATTATAAGATAGATATTCTTTGTTTTGTAATTATTCTATATCCATTTCCCCTTTCCAATGCTATATATCTTATCAGTTCTTTTCCAATCCTGTGAATATCTATAAAACTTTTCTACATGTTTGCTTTTTCCCTTTTTCTTTCGTTTTTTTTTTTTGCTATTTAAGTGCATTTTACACAGAATTCTTATAAAATATCTTTTTGAAATATAGACCACAATGCTACTTTTTCTGTTAATCTTCAATAACTCTTAATTGCTTACAGCAAATGACTTCAAGCACTCCTGTGCATAATGTTCCAGGCGACAAGAATTGAGATTCCTCTTGAAAAATCTTACTTCAGGGGCTGGGGATTTAGCTCAGCAGCATAAGCACCTGCCTTGCAAGCAGGCTGTCATGAGTTCGATCCCCGGTACCGATAAAAAGAGAAAGAAAAAAAAAAAAAAAAAAAAAGAAAGAAAGAAAAATCTTACTTCTAACTACCCTATCTTTCCAAAGCCACAGCTGAACTGGAATGCTTTCAGGAATTGTCTTCCATAGGCCTGTCCCCAGCCCTGTGCTTCCCACTTCTATGCTTTTTGCTCATATGGTTCCATTCCTTGTCCGAGGTGGAGACCCTTTTCCATGCTCTACCAATTCTTCAACAACAGCTCAAATCCTAGAAGCTTGTGCTGTGTTTCTCTCCCTGCATGGCATGCTTTTCACTGTGCCATATTGCAAGGGTAAATGGGGAGGACCACTTGGATGACTCTTCTTGAATAAAGAATTATCTCCATTTTGGATAAACCTAGCCCTATCTCCATGTATAGAGATATGTACAGAGCTGGCTAGGCCATTTCTTTAGCCTTTCAATTGGCCTTAAAATACGTAAATAGAGCTAGCTGAGGTGCTGATGCATAATCATTAAAGCTAGGTGACAGTGGTTTTTCACCTGCCCTGTGACCCCCCCAAAACATGGTGGGGCTGCGTGGGATGAAAAGCCACAGTTCAATGCTGTCAGCTGGGATTGAGTCTTGAGATAAGAGGTTTTCGCTTCCCAGGGAAGAAAAATTTACACATTAGAACTGAAGCATCACCCCAAAACATAATCAATTGTGTTATGCAGATTATGCCTTCTCTATATTCTTCCCTCTGCATATTGCAGAGATGATCTTAGGCCGTCTATCTAGCCTAGCTTATAGCATTCATATACTTCCCACCTTTCTCACGGTCACTCAACCTCAACCAACTCTCTTCTTCACAAGTTAATAAAATCCGGGTTGGTGCTGGGTTGAGGCCTTGGTTCCATTGTACCTTCATCTTGGCCAAACTTAGGACATCTTGGCTCTCCATAACTATAAATACATCTTAATGTTTTTATTCTTGCCATGAATTGCACTGAAGTGGTAGAGTGGCATGAACTTATTGGAATTCCAATAACTTTCCATGGGATTACAAATAGCAACTTCCTAGACCATGAAGGGGATCAAGAAAGGCTGTATATAGGAAAGCATAATTTTAACATACCTTTCAAATCTTTCCTAACTACCCCATCATTCGATTCTCCTAGAAAGGCAAATCTGGCTCCATTAGGTGCCGAGACATTGAGCCCTAGGGTTCATGGTTGGATAACATATAGTTTCTGACGTTTCTAATGTTCATTGTCATATACTCACCTCTCTTTATATGCTGCTACTGTAGTTATTGTCCAGAAAATTGTCTTTCAATCATCTGAAGTCATAGGAAATTTTTTGTTTTGAATTGCCAGTTAAACTTTTCTGATTTAACCTTTTAAAAAATCACTTGTTTTCCTTTGTTAGACTGCAAACTTTCCCCCCTAAATCACTAGTTTATGATGAAAATGGACAAGCATTTATGTAATATGTATGGAGGTGCTATTTTTGCTAGTGCTTCTAGTGCTTGGTGTGGTATGTGTCACTTTTTTGAGGCACATCAAACCCATGATTTCACAAATATTATTGCTTAGGATAAGACCAGATGGTGCCTATGTAGGTGTTTCAAAAGCAAATCTATTAAACAAAAATATTAAATAATAATGTGTCAAATGATGGTTATGGAGAAACTACATGTCTCTTGAATGTGTCTACATTATATTGATACTAAAAATGACCTTGTAAATTAGAAACTAAAGTCGGGGTAAACACTGTGACTTATTCAAGTCACATAGCTAACAAAGCTAAAGGATTCAAATGAAGGTGCCCATATCTCTCTGACTGAAGTCTTCCAAACTAACTCTCTGATGTCCTTTTACATAAAGATTCAATTTAGTTACTCACACGTGGGTGTGTGGCCTGTATTTTAATACCCCATCTCATCTCCTCTAAAACATTTGTTTTTTATTTGTGAATTAAATCCTTCACCTCCAGAAAAACAAAAAAGGGACTGCAGTGAATTTTTGTGCGTCTAAGCATTTATGAAAACATACAAGGAAAAGGACCTGATTTCCCGCCTGGCTGAGTGAAACAATTTTTTTCACCTTGGCACTTCAGCCTACAGCTGTAATAAGGGCCTTTATGCTCAAATAGGCCTTTAAACGGAACACATGCTGAGCAGAGACCCACTTTCTCAGCCCCGCTCCACTGTGTTGTCTTTTCGCCAACTGACCAGGCTGAAGCAGCAGCAGGAGAGACTGCAGGTAGGTGGGGAGGGGATCATTTTGAAAGCCCTAAATCCCTTGCAGGAAAGAAGCAGCTGCTACTTGTTTTCCTAAACATCTGTCCATCTGTCCATCCGCCCCTGGCTGTAACTCATCCTTTGAAGGCTCAAGGTAGTTAAATGTGGTCTAAGGAGGAATCACTTCTGAAAACTGGTTGGTGATTGGAAATGGACACAAATGCCACTCAGAAAAGTTAGACTGTGAAGAGAGTAGTTGGGGGAATCTTAAAGAAAATAGCTATTCCTTTTTCTTACAACGTATACAGCTTTAGATGATAGAATGAATGTATTTATCACAACACTGCCCAAATTGAATTGTATGCCCTGAGATATTATTTCACAAGATACAGGTACACTTAACCACTCACATTTTGATTTTAGCCTGCAGGCGAGATACAGACCACTGATTTATAAGGATAAAGGACACCACCTTTTTGGTAGAATGAGCTCTGCATTTGTTACACCTGTGGAATTTAACAGAGAGGAAAAAAGGTTTTAATTTTATTTACTTATTTTTCCCCAGTGGTCAGAAGAGCAGTTGGAACTCAGCAGTCATAAAATAGAGATTTATACATGAATGACGAAGTTAAAATAAAGGAACAAAGTTAAAATAAAGGAACGCCTGCCTCTGGAGGCAGGCGTAAGGGACAGACTGCATTTTCGCAAAGCAACCCAAGGGGTCACAGCAGCCCCTACGCAGACAAGCGGAATCGCAGCCCTAGACTGTGCATTTAGGCACTTGCCCCGCCCAGAGCGCGCTCGTGGCCACGCCCCTACCCTGGATCCTTCCTTTGGTGAAGGCGCTCTATTCCATTTACAGGATTCGGGGCGGGGCCAGCAGGGCGCAGGCGCAAAGGGAAGCGGAAGTAGGAACTGGAGAAGAAAAGAGGAGAAGGGTTTGCACTGTTTCGCTGAGCCTGCCGTGACGTTCCTCCTCCTCCCGCGGGAAGAGGCGGGTGTCAGCGCTCGCCCAGGCTCCTCCCTTCCCCGCCCCCTGCCTGGGAGTCCCGGGCAGCTACCGTCTGTGCCAGCCGAGATGGCGCTGGACCCCGCAGGTACGAGAGCGGGCGACGTGGTTTGCCGAGGCCCAGCGCCTCGGTTCTCGCGCAGCGGGTCTTACACTGCCTGGTCGCCTGGGAAAGGCGCAGAGCTCTGAGGTTGCCCGGCCTCCACCGGCATCACCTCAACCGGGGCTGGCTACTTTTGGGTTTTCTGCCGACCTTGGCTTCTTCCTTAGGTCATTTTCTCGCTAGTTGGAGTTAGTGCTAAGTGAGGGGCATTGGGTTTGTGGTCTAGACTATAGTCCATTTGTGGCTTACGGAGATCTTCCTCCGTTGAGCGACTGCCTTCATTGCCATCCTTCGTGCTCTTTGGGTCACAGACTCCTTTTAAACAATATTACAGACACTTGCTCCGCAAGAGTTTCCATTGTCGTGCTGGTGCACAACATTATTTTTCGAGTAGTTCATGGACCTTACGTTCATCCTTGTAGCCCAGTGTAACAGTTCTAAGGATCCATCACTATAGCAAGAGTCAGTTGTTTTGGAAAGGATCTTCTGTGTCTTAGATGTTATTTTATGTGCTTCTGCACATTGGATTAGAGATTTGCATACGAAATCAGTTTACAGTAGAGATCAATGAATTCTTGCACAAGCTCGTCCGCCTTTTTTTTTTTTTTTCACTGTAAGGATATATGTAAAGAACTTCAGTTTTGAAAGAAACATAAATATGAAAGAAGGAATAGATTTAATCCATTCTTTTCATTTTACGGAATGAAAAACTCAAAGACACTGAGACATTTTATGCTTTTGGAGCGAAAAAAATTGCTTTTCAGGCCCTCTCAGAGGTTGAAAAATATATTTAACACACAATAATACATTTACTGAATAGTATATTATCAAGCTAAATATATGGAATTATCCAAACACGGTATGTTCTTTTATCTAGATTTTACAGATTGCAAAATTGAGCCTCAGAGAGGTTAAGTTACTTAATCTAAGCAGATAGTAGTAAAATCAGCAAGAACTCTAATTTGAAGCATGAAGGAATTCTGGAATACATAATGATCCTGTCAGTTTTGGGCTAGGTGATTGATGCAGGCAACAGTCTGGCTTTGAAGAGTATAGTTTCCAGTGATTTGAACTGGGAAAAAGGCATGAGCAAATGTCTTGCTAATAAGCCATACTATGTGTATTTATTTTCAGGTTATTTGATTCATGGAGGAAGAAGGGTTTTAAATAGGGCTTGGCTAGGGCAAGTTCAGGATGAATTTTGTATAATTTTTGTGCTTCTGACCCGGAAGTGGTTGTTAATTTTACATAGACTCAAGAGGTTGAAGACTTTTCTATGCCCATGTTGAACTTAAATTTAAGAAGGAAAAAACCTTCATCCTTACAGTTGCCACCTTCTTCTAGTTACTCTTTAACACCAATTTTGTAGTATACCCAAGGCCACATCTGGCTAGAATCCAAGGGACTACATTTTCAGTTTAGTGTTGTAGGCTATTTTAGTATATTAGTTAAGCAAAATAACTTGGCAAGAGCCCAGCATATGCCATGATTGTTTTAAGTTGTGGGAGATGGTAGCAGCTGTCCCCAGTCTCTTTGGCAGTGAAAAAAAGGACCAGTTTTTGAAGTTCTGTTTTTACTCATTTTGGCTAAAGTTAAGTTGTGGACTTACTCAAACTGACAGAGCAAGTCCTCGTGGGAAAATAGCACCAGTGGAAGTTGTAAATAAATGAGTGAGCCAAGCATGAACTAGAATGACTGTTGGATTCTGATTTAAAGCCTGCCACCACTCGCAGCTTAACTAATACATGCCGTTCACTGATTGGGTTTTGGTATAAATCTGCAAGCAGTGGGTTTATTATGGTCTTTACAGTTAAACTTCTGTGCTAATGTTAATCTGTAGCTGCAGTTACTCCCCAGTACTAGCATCACCGCATTTAATAGTAGGGATTTTACTCTTGTGAGACTCTGATGTTGCCACTTCTCTGAGAAGATATAGAGCGCAGGTTTTAAGGCAACTGACAGAAGACAGCTGTAAATACAGATGAGTTTAGCCTGCAGTTTACCTCCTGTGCCACCTAGCCCTAACAGGCCACAGAGGTAGTAGTCATGGCCCAGGATTTGGGGACCCCTGGCATATAGGACAAACAAGTCCTTCTCCCAGTAGGAAGAAAACACTCCTCCCCCACTCATATATACACATATGCTTACAGAAGCCGATTAGCTTTATAAGAAAATAAATGCTGTGGTGTGTGTTAGACTGTGAATGGAGGACTATTGTAGATAATGGCAAGTTCTACCAGGAAATATCACTGATTGTAATCTGATGGATGAGAGGAAGTGACTACGTGAAGAACTAGGGAAAAGTATGGAAGTATCAAACTTTTAAAATATTTTTTATTCTAGTTTATTAGTGCATATGTGTAGTACATAATATTTACAATGCTTGTGGGAAGTTGGTGCGTGTATGTAACACATTTTAATCTCTTTTTTCATTTTTCCTTCTCTCCCTCCCTCAGCTACCTCTTGATTCTCCTCACTTTTTTGTACAGTACCAGCACTACACAAGGATTATAAACATTATGTATTGCAAACATGTGTAAATGCTTAAAACATTTGACTGGACTTCAGCCAGGGGTGGGAGGAGATCCCTTAGAAAGATTTGGGAAAGTTGGTAGGAGCAGGGTACCTTGATGTTGCAGAGATGTTTTTCCTGATGGTGTCATAAGCCATTAGGAGCTTTTAAAAAAAGTAGAGATGTAACAGACTTGGTTTCCTTTTACTATCCTGGTTTCAGTAACAGTGTAGATTGAAGAGGAGTCAGGAGTGGAAGCTGGAAAACAGGTTGGAGTGGTGGTTCAAGCCAGATATGTGTATATATATATCTTAGATTGCGGTGCTTGTAGAAAAGATGGAAAGAAAGAAAAGGTGTCAGTAAATGTTTTGCAGGAGAAAGTGGCAGGACCTGCTGTTTCCTTAGGCAAACTGGGTGGGAGGAAGAATTAAGGATAATTTCTAGGCTCTTTACTTCACTAACTAGATCTGACTTAGCAACAAGAAGTCCATTGGAAAATTTGACAAAAGTAGGTTTGGAAACAGTGGAAAGTAAGAAAGTAGTCATCAAGTTGGGAAGATTTGTTTCTTAAATTTCATTTGTTGCCAGGTAGAGTCTGTGTGCTTGTAATCCCAGCACTCGGGAGGCAGAGGCAGGAGAATCGCTGTAAGTTTGAGACCAACCTGGGCTATACAGCAAGAGCCTGTCTCAGAAAAAACAAAACAAAACAAAAATTGTCTTATCCATCTAACTTTCAAAATATAAAACAAGCCTTCACAGAATTTCAATTTTGTTTGCTTTTGTTTTGTTGCAAGTTTACATTTACATTGTAATGTGTTATGACTTTTTGGAGTCCTAAGTAGTGTGGTGCTCATACTAAGCAGATGATAGCTGTGCTGGATGAAGCTTATAACAAAATCTGTTTTCCCATTTGCTTACGTTTTTGAGACCTTCATAAAAGTTTGATTTTTAGTTGGTAAGCACTTTTTAAATAACTTTGCAGTACCATCTTTTTTCAAAATCTGAACCCCACTGTGGGAGTAAAAAAACCCAAAAAGTGTAATGCTTATTGTAAAAAAGAGAGGAAAGGAAGGTGGTCTAAGTGATATAACTGCATGTATGTTTGAGTGTGTAGGATGGAAAACCATATTACTGAGCTTTTGTTGGATCATTGAACCCAACTGTCTGCAATCTCACTGTATGAATGTCTACTTTATATGCTTTAATTTTATAATTTGGACAACTGTTTCTAAAATGACAATATGTTACTATTAATTAGTGATTTCTTACTGTATATTTTTTTCTTGAAATTCTGTACTACTTGTACCTTTTTACTACTTTGTTTTTTTATTTTGTTTCTTTTTTCTCTTTAAATAAAAACAACAAAAAACAAAAAAAATCTGAACCCCAAAATGAAATGCAGATATAGCCTTTTTTTTTTTTTTTTTTTTTTTTGGCATTTTGTATATTTGCTTTAAATATTCCAGGGGTGACAAAGGGGACTGAAGGGAGAAGGAAGCTGGCTTTTCTCAGCAGCTCTTGCTCCACAAGCTGGCAGCAGGGAAGAAGTCCTACTGGAAACTGGGCCCTGGCACAGTACAGGGACCCCTGGTGGGGAGGGTAGAGCTGCCAGGCCACTCAGGTGACTGAAGTGGTTTGCAAGGGTTACTGAGCCAGTCTCATGACATAATTATCACAGTTGCTCTTGAGCGGTATTAAATTAAGGGATGACAAAAGGAACCAAGAGAGTAGCTTATGCAGTTGGATTCTGAACCACGATCAAAAAATTGTCTTTATCTGGTGCAACTATTATTTCTTTTTTCTTGAAGTGAATGCAGAGGAAAGTGAGGTCGTTCTGGGGGTCGATTTCATGCACTGTGCTCTGTGCCTTCAACATGAAGTTGTCATGAGTTTGAGTGCCTTCTGTGTTCACACCATCATTCCTGCACGCCTTTCTGGCTCTGAAGTCCTTTTAGTGTTTCTTCCACCTCTGCCATCTCAGGCTGAGCCAGCAGCTCCATGTGGCCAAGGCTCAGCCCAGTTCAGCACCTTTCTGCTGCCTACTTATTCTTATGTGTACTTTCACTTATTGTCCTTTTGGTAATGCAAAGGTAATAACAATAATCTTTATGGGGTTATCAGCCATAATTATATTCACTATTTCTATTGCAGTTTGCTGAAGAGAGTCCAAAGCATCCAGGAAAAGTGGCTGTGAGGAAATACAAATTTTTCAAACATACTGTTGTCTAAATTATACTCTTAGATATTTAGATTTAATTTGTCTGGGCTAGGGCCCAAGCCTCCAATATCTTAAAATAACATTGTAAGCAGTTCTTATGTGCAGACAGAATAAAGGAGAGACAACAGTATTTTGAACTCTCTGAATTTGTCCTTAAGTCTTTTTCCCAGTCGAGTCTCTATTCTTACAAGAAATTCTCCCTTGTATCTTTTAGCCATAAAGAGGGCTTTTGCTTTTACAGTAATGACATAAGAA